ATACATCTTCATTAGGGTGTGAGAGTGCCGGACCTGTACAGTTTAGTGCAGTGTGAATCTGCCACACAACAATGCATTGGAGAGGCCCCAGCACAGACATGGGTGGAAGGTCTGTATGGATGATATTTAAGACATCCCCTTCATAGCTTGACAATCTGTTATGTAGCTCCAAGCAGTGAACGGATGTAGCCAATGCCAGACCTGCCGGCAGTTAGACTAGGTAAAACTGCAGGGGATTGTGGTTGTTTTTATTGCAATTAAGGACATCATCGCAAAATTTAATTTCAGAATTCTTCCACCGAACACATACTTGTGTCTCTGGATTTTTTTTTTTTAATGAGGAGTTTTACATTTTTGGAACACGCATTTGACATTTTCCACAATGTGAGCTTTTTTGTGGTGTTCATATTTGGAAGGCATTAAGCACATTGTCGCATCTGTTAAGAAGCAGTTTATGTGCAATTGCATGGTAATTACTGGCACTTACTGTAAAAAGTTCTGCTTTTCACATGACTGAGCTATTGTCTCTTCTCCCCTGTGCATTTGGTAATCAAAATGCCCCGACACCACACTGAAAACAGCACAGAATCAATATCAAATGTCGGTCCCCTGTAGCCATGTTGAAATGGGAAACACAATTTCTCCTTTTTTCACGCAGATGAGAGGAATGAACTCTCTGTAATGTAACTGACATGGTTACCCCAGGTCAAGCTTTGAGCCATGACCCTGTTGTCTGTGCCTGTGTGTCCCTCTGCTCTGTGGGTGCTGTGTTGCTGTGCGGCCCGGCCTTCAGGATGTGCGCTGGGCCTGTTTGGGGCCGGCTGTGAGGAGCACTGTGACTGTGCACATGGGGCCCCCTGCCACCACATCACTGGAGCCTGCTGGTGTCCTGGGGGCTGGAGGGGCCCGCGCTGCGAGAGAGGTCAGTACCGGCCCACGTTCACTGCCCTGTGTATCTCCGCTCGTGTTTGAGGAACAGTCTTAGAGAGATGTTATGAAGCACAGGTAACTGTGACGTAACCAACAAAACTAAAACTGAGTGACTATCAATCTTGAGCTAAACCACTGTGGGGTTTTCCACAGTATTTAATAGAAATCAGCTTGTGCACAATACATTTTCTCCACGTGAACAGTAACACCCGTGTTAAGCTGTTTGAAGAACTTCAAAACCGAGGAAGAAAGTATCATTATAGGCCTGTTCTTTTCATTCCACTAGAATTTTGGCCACACTTTTATAATTTACTAGATATATTTATTAAGTAGGACAGTCACATTAGTTAAACTCATTCTAAAAAGGAAATACTAAACCTCTAGCAATGCAACTATGCCAGCAATGGTGTAACTTACTGCAGTACTCATAATGCAAACTATATGATATAGCGATATACAGTGGTTGAGAATGCCAAATATATTGTAAGTCATGCACAAAATTATTCCCAAGAAGCTATTATGTTCCTCAAAGAATGTTTTATGAGTCTTACTTGTGCAAAATCAGTGAGACGTGAATAGCCATTTCTGCAGCTGTCACCCGAAACATCACAAGTGTGTACTCTGGCGTCCTCTACTGGTTGTACGGCCAGTTAATTTTATACGGAGGCATTAAAATCGCGACACATGCATATTGGAAGGTATATAACACGACACAGTCACCTTTCGATACACGGAATTTTACCTTTTTTCACTTCTGTGTGCAAAGTTTGATGTATGAATGTGGAAGTCCATAATAGTAAAGGCATTATTACTGAATTACCACATTTATAAATGAGAATAATCTACCTTATTCTAAAACTTTCATGAATCATCAGTTGGCACTAGTTTAGGCATTTTCTTGATACATTCCAAGTTTCTAATCATTTCTGAGTTGCAACACCTACTATAAAACGTTGCAGGTCTTATTTATACAATGTGTGCTATTGCCTTTTATACTGTACCTGTCTAAACCAGTTGATGGCTCTTTGCAGCCTGCTTACCTGGGACTTACGGAGAGAACTGTGCCCAGCGGTGTTCCTGTCCCCACGGGACTTCCTGTAACCATGTGACTGGCGAGTGTGGGTGTCCTCCAGGCTTCACTGGGAACGGCTGTGAGCGGAGTAAGAGAAATGTTAAACTCACTCGGCGGGGAGCCAAAAGCTTCATCACAGACAGAGAGCGAAACATTTTCGGACTGAAGGTCATAATTGAAAAACAAAAGCACTACACTGTTGAGGGTGGCATAGTGGTGTGGGGTAGGTCCTCCTGTTTCACATTTCTCAGGCCCTGATTTAGATTGCAGAATGGGGTTTGAATGTACTATTCTGGCTGATGTGAGGTTTTAGCAGCTGCTCCATTTCCCTGCTGCCTTGCAAAGGTTAAGCAACGTCTCTGCTTGGCCCTGTGTGTGTGTATGTGGGTGTCCCTGCCTGCCCTGTGATGCACTCGCATCACTTTTAGGGTACGGTCCACCTTTGTGCCTTCTGCTTGCGATAGGCTGCCAAGTTCCCCATGAATAATTATCTCTCTGGTGATGAATGAACAGACTGGTATAGAGTGGTGAAAAGAGGGAACTCTACCAAGTAAAAACAGCACTGTACAGTATGTATATAAGGACCCATATCCAGCATTTTTGTTGTCCTGTATCAGCTAAACTGAACCAAGTCAGTCCCTTTGACCTCTGTCTGAAGCAGTTTGCACGGTAGTAGTCTGAGGCTGTTATCCTACTTTATTAACACTTCGCTTTTCTCTTCCCACCTCCCAGCTTGCCTGCCTGGTACCTATGGCCACAACTGCAACCAGGTGTGTCAGTGTTCTGGAGCAAATCAGCTCTGTCACCCTGTGACTGGAGCCTGCTCCTGCGCGCCAGGCTACCATGGCAAAGACTGCCAGCTAGGTGAGGCCCCCTGCTGGTCGCGCGGCTGAAAATCCCACCTGCAATAATAGCTCTTGATTTTGTTTTGTCTCCGATGCTTGGAAAGTGAAATGCATTCATACCCACACAAGGGGTATTCTTTGGAAATATTTACAGCAATGTCTAGACCTGTTGCATTTACATTTAACACATAATTCGAACGGAATCCACTGTAAGGTATATACTCGGAGGCATATACACCTAAGAAATGCTATGCGATCCAGTGCTTGTTCTCGAAGACGCAGACTCTGTTTTCCATGCCTAGAATGCCCAGAAGGCTGGTATGGCCCTAACTGTGAGCAGCAGTGCCAGTGCCTGAATGGTGGAGTGTGCCAGACCACTACAGGGTCCTGTGGATGCCCACCGGGCTACATCGGAGCCGACTGCAACACCAGTGAGTCAGCCTGCCATTCCATGGGCATGAGCATTTTATTTCCGTTTTAATGTAGATTTACTGTATATTAGACAACATTACTGTAAAGCATAATGCATTGTAATGATATAATAATACGCCAGGTGTCTCAAACACAGTTCCTGGAAGGCCCAGTATCTTTCTGTTCCAACATCAGTTGTTAAATAAACAATTTCACCTAATAATTTTCTAATTTCGATTTACTGTATGTAGGCTTTTTCTTAATGAATTTTGCACTAGATTACACAAGACATTCACCTCATTAAAGGTACAGATAACTATAAATCACCTCAGAGCCTGAACAAACATGTTACATTTATGCCGCTAATCGAACAACTAAGCCTACCATGTAACTGAGAACGTGGGTGGAAAACAAGCAGATAAGATGGATGTACTGTAGTGCGAGAAGGAGAGTTGCTTGCACTGATTCATCATACCCATTGCACTTTCTGTGGACACACTAATGCATTTGCTTAGAAGTTGCAGCTTTTAGCAGGAAGGAGCACAGGGCACAAGCAATCTCATATGTCACTTGGGGTGATATTCCACACTCCTAAGTCCAGTCTTGAGTCCCTCATCCTTGATTGTTAAATTTCTATAGCAACCTTTAACTAGGGGGTTGGTGAATACTGTGCTGTAAAAATTTGTATTGTACATTTCTATATGTATTGAGAAGGAAATAAGTTGAAGAAACAGAATATTGGTAGCTAGACAACACAATATTTAGACAACACAATGTACAGTATGATTATTGCTAGAGGCTGAGAAATACACCACTGTCACCCGCCTGAACGCTGGTACAGAGGATTTGGATATTTTGTCCCTGTGGATTAAAAAAAAATAAAGTACAAATGCAAGGAATTATTACAATGAGAATGTTATAATATTTGCTGCATTTTACTTCTGTCGTCTAGGAGGATACACTGAGGAATTGTTTGAGACTGGCACTGTGGTATTATGGAGAGGTTTAGTAGTATTTGATGTGCATAATTATCATGCTGTGATACATTCTGAATTGAGGTTTGGTGTAGTTAATGTCCAATTTTTGGATTGCCTCGGATTCCCCCGTTATTTTAGTCCTCAAGAGGGGAACTGAAGCTACAGTACAGTAAGCCTTGTCGTCTCTTGCTGCTCCCAGCATGCCCGGCTGGGCGCTACGGTCAGGACTGCGCCCGGGTGGCGTTCTGTGGCAACAGGGGGAAGTGTGATCCTGTGACAGGAAGCTGCGTGTGCGCTGCTGGGTGGAAAGGAGAGCACTGCGAGGAAGGTCAGTTCGGCGTGTCAGAGAGGCTGTCTCGGGCAGAGCTTTACAAAGCCAACTCTGACCCCTTTGCGTTCTCCCTCTCAGATTGTCTCGCCTTTATCCATCTTCCAAAGTTCTTTCTCCCCATACCTTAGTATTTTTCTATTTGAATGCAGTTTATTTCAATATTTACTATTGTTCATGTGGATTTTCTTCAGGGGCACTGGTTTCTCCCCAGTTTCCATAAGCACGTTGGCCTCATTAATCGAATCTGTTCATTGTCCTCATGTGCTGTGCGTGCCCTGCAGTGGACTAGTGTCCTGTCTAGGGTGCAGTCCCTTCTGATAGGTTCCTGGTTGCTGTGGCACTTGTAAAAGAGGCTTTTTAATAATGCTTGGATGAATGAATTCACTTTGGGTTAGGTTTTTTTCTCTTTGTAAACCATTTTAGACTAGATCGTTTACTGTCAAACTATGGTTCTGCATGGTGTGAACTGAAGTGAGTGCTTGTCAACCACCCGAGCCTGTGTGCCATACTGTGTATGTGTGCGTGTGCTCACACTACTGCTGGTGTGTGCTGGCTGACCAGTTGGAGCATCAAAGGGGTGTGCAGTAGCAATGCTCTGTTGTTCCCCGGCAGGCTGTGAGCAAGGCCGGTTTGGAGAGGGCTGTTTACAGGTCTGTGACTGCAGGAACGGGGGGCTGTGTGACACCCTCTCTGGGGTCTGCACCTGTGCTCTGGGCTGGAGTGGTCCACACTGCGAAGCAGGTGAGTCCCGTACACATTTCTAAAGAAGGTCTTCATTATACGGCATTAACTGTGGCAGTACTGAATGAAGAAGTCAGAATGAAACCTGGGTTAATTCCACTCTGAAAAGCAGAAAAAAAACCCAATGCTTTGGCTGTAAAGCCTTCTTCCGGTGTGAGTGCAATTCTGCCTAAAGGAATTTACTGTACATCCTTCCTTGCAGCCGACACACACTGACACAAATGCCCACTCAAACAAAAGACATCCAGTAATGTGTGCGCTTTTTTTAACATTAAAAATTCAGGCTTTAATGCCTGAAGTATATTATTCCCTGTTTTTAATTGTAATTTTCAGATAACATTCCTGTTATCTGTAATGCCTTTATTTGGATATTTTAGAATTTCTGCTTCCATGCTGAAGACGTCAAACACCTCCTTAACCTCCTTCCTTCCTCGTTGTGGATGTGTGCACAAGATCATCTTGTGAACCTGTTTTAGAGTTCTTATCGGCTTCTGGCCTGTCTCCCCCATTTCCTGTGCTTGTCTGATAGCGTGCCCCGTGGGAAAGTACGGAGCCAACTGCCAGCACGACTGCCTGTGTCAGAACAATGGCACATGTGACAGAGTGACGGGCAGCTGCCAGTGTCAGCCAGGCTACTACGGGCATGTCTGTGAGCATGGTAAGAGGCAGCTCTGGGCCATTACTAGCACCTAGGGAAGCACCTGCAGAGCACCTGTCTATGGAAAAGACTCACTCAGACGGAGGCCTCCAGAGCTAACAGACTCAAGACAAAATCAAAATATGATGATGATCCTGTCAAGTCAGAAAATAAACAGTGTTATTAATCATTTTTGTTAGGGTTGATTATTTATTTGTAGATTGTAATGCAAAAGTACAATCTTTCAGTAAATTTTAGGGCTCTATAAAGTTCAGGCTTGACGTGACCTGGATTAGGGATGTATCTCTTCTATAAACAGCACTTATCTCTCTGTGGGTTGCTGCAGAGTTTGTACTAAGACATAAGAAGATAAAAGCCTATCTTGCTCTTCCTGATTCTCCCCATCGGGCTATAGTAGTCTCTGCTTTGAGTTAAGACATAAAGAAACATCAATTCCTCCTGAGTGGGTGGGTATATAATGGATCAAAGTGGCGATTCGAGTTTGTTTAAAAAGTTGGTATACATGTGGTATAGGTCTGTTGATGTGAAATTGATGAGCACCTTTATAATTCAGAAATTAGGGAATCCCTTCTGTGAAAGTCAGTGTAGACAGACTTGGAGATTAGGGCTCTACATTCAGCTGTGTATCCCTCCAGCCTGTCCTCCTGGTTACTACGGCGATCGCTGCCAGCAGACCTGTGACTGCAGACATGGAGCTTCCTGTCACCCTGTAACTGGACACTGCCTGTGTCCCCGTGGTTACCACGGCGATCTCTGCGAGAAAGGTGAGGCAACAGTTCTGCATTTTAAAGTGGCAAAATAACACCTTCACAGTCCTGAACACAGGATTAGCTTGTATTTCAACCATACTTTGTGTTCCTAATTGCGTCTACAAAGAATGAACATACAGTACAAGCATTGAACCATAAAGATTGCAAGAAAAATTCAATTTGAACAAACAGACTTTACTACAGAGGTAAACTGAAGTTCTTCTTTAATTGTAACCTGGAATTGGACCTCATTACTTATTATAAGTACGATTTACCAGGATTTGTAACAGAAGAGCAGAATCCTTTGTCACACAGAGTGGTATACGGATAAAGGCACAGACAGGAATGTAGAGCTTTAATAGGAATAGTACAAGACTGTTATAGCTCAAGGAATCGTATTAAACAAAATGCAAAGTGGAATACAGGTGTTGCTGCAAAGCTAAATGAAGAAAAGCTTCGCAACATTACGTGTGGAAGAGATCATAGCCAGCTCTCCCTGTCTTCCTCCCTCTCCCTCTCGCTCTCCCTCTCAGTGTGCGATCAGGGGTGGTTTGGCGACAGCTGTCAGCAGGCATGTGACTGTGAAGGCGACTCTCCCTGCGACCCAGTGAGTGGGCAGTGCCTGTGCCCCCCAGGGAAGACTGGAGCCAAGTGTGACATAGGTACGGAGCGGGCATGAAGACATGAGCCTTCTTTATTTAAAAATATATCGTAGGCTTGCCAGAAGACATTATTAAAGACCGTAACTGTACACCTATTCATTTTACTTAGCAATAAATGAAACGGCCTGTTGTCGTCATGTTACACTGTTTAAAATAGCAGAAAGAAGTTGTGGCAAGCTGTGAAGCTCTGAAGCTGGAGACTTCCGTTCTCTTGGTACTGAATATCTCCTCTCTGCACGCTGGCACAGCTCTTGCTTTCTGGCGCAGACCAATGCTGTGCGGGCCTTAACTGTCGGCGCGCTTGTTCACTTGCTGCCTCTCTCCCTGTGCCCTCAGACTGCAGGGCCAACCGCTTCGGCCCCAACTGCACCGAGGCCTGCGAGTGCAGGAACAGTGGCCAGTGCAATCCGCGCAGTGGCCACTGCACCTGTCTGCACGGCTGGATCGGGCTCGCCTGCCAGGAAGGTATCCGCCCCATTCCTGCTCCTCACACACACTGCTCTCTCGTGACCCGAAGGGCAGCACTGCGTTTCAAGCTGCAGGAGAGTTGCAAGTAGTATTTCTGTCAAATGCCTTTCAAGGTTCTGGATTAAATGGTTAAAATACTAAAGTTCTCAAAATAGAAGCTGGGTTTCTTACAGGTTGTTCAGCAGAAATGAACCTGGTATCATCAATTCAGTTCCCCTTTTTTTTTTTACTTTAAATTTCTTAATATAGGATAAGTCCTTATCCTTTCTCTGCACGCAAAAAGATATACTGTAAGTGTCTGTGCCTTAATATATAATGAGCTGCAAAGGAGAATCTGTTTATTATCAGTAGAAGTTTAGCTCGTGCACTTTTCCTGGATGACTTACATAGGGTGAAAAACACAAATTAATGCAAAACTGATACAATAGTACAATTCTAATACATTATATGTCAGTGCAATAATAATACAACTGTATAGCTGGAATGTGCATGAAGAATATAATACAGGAAAAAGCAGTAATTTATAGGTTTAAAATATTTTGGATTTTTGGTTGTGTCCCCAGGGGGTCCCCCCCAGCCACCTCACCACTCCCCCAGGATAAGAAGAGAGCATCGTGCCCGTCTGGAGACATCTGTGTAGGATCCCGGCCACCTTGTTGCCCCCAGCACCTCCCCCCGCCCCCAGAGTCCCCAGCTCCTGCATCTACTGTGCAAACAAGAGAGATAGCACTGCCACGGCCCAACACAAGGGCCAAAATGCACATTACTGGCCTCCGAGTTCACTGGTGGGAGGTGTTGTAATCCGTAACAGACTGGCATGCTATGGACCTACAGGAACTGGAATTTCAGCAATCTAGAAAGGGAACCAAGTCATCTTCTTGGAGAAACAGGAGAGTCTCTCAAATTTCTTTATGGATTATTTTTGTCTGCGAGGATTTCTGCTAATGGGGGCATCAACATTCTTTCCTCATTTTAGGCCTGGCCATACAGTAACCTACAGGAAGGAGATGTTTTGGGCTGGGTTGAGGATGTCTCCACTGAGCTGTCCAGTCTCTGCCTCAGCAGTTCATGGGCTAAGACACGATGCACGATTCTCCGAGTCAGTGGGATCGTACGGCAGGAGAAAGGAGGTGGACTGGACAGTGGTTAATGAACCAGGAAGCATGAACTCTAAAGCTTTCACATTTGGAAAATGAAAATAAGCTTTTTTGATAAATGGCATTTAAGGATGCAAATGTAAATTTGAAAGAATAATTGAAATACGTCAACTTCGAATACACATAATGTAAAAAACCCCAGCCATTAGAGGTTAAACAAAGCCAAAACAATCTCAATGCATTGGAATAATTGTCTTAGATGAATGCAGCAGTCAACCTACTGTGCATTGTACCTCAGACACTGAAGACCTCATCCAGTTTAGATTTCTGCATGTGGTTGTGTGTATGTGTGTTCTATACTCCAGAGACTGTGCTGCACATTCTAGCTTGTCTTCTCACTGTACTCCTCCAGTGTACAGTCCTTGATAAATGAGCCCACAGTATAAATTGCAGCCATTACGCTGCCCAGCCCTGGGAAATAATCCGGTCGGTGCTGGATGTACTGTAGCCATACAGAGTACAGCATCAGTGTTTCCTTGCTGGAGAGGATGCACTCTGTGGGGACTTTGGACATACAGTACAGCCAAGGGTGCTATTAGAATCAACTACAATTAGAGAGCTGTTTGGACATGGGGTGAATTGCTGATGTTATTTGCTGAGAACCACCGGGTGGTTTTGGCCCGGGAGAATAACAGCTGTGTATTTCAATACAGTTTGGATATTTGTGACAGATCAGCTTTCATTACAGTGTCATCAGCCTTGCACCTTCTCGATATAATTGACATCAGGTGCTGGGGAAATGGCTTCAGCTGTAGTTGGTTAACACAGTGTCTGGTAGCAGTCAGATGGCTGGGTCTCTTTCAGATGTATTTGTGGTGTGGTTTTATCACTCTTTGTTTTCATGTTGTGTTGTTTAGATGGCTAAGAGACCATCATTTTATTTTGTTGCAGTCCTTCATGTTCATAGTAGCTGATAGTAGCTGAATTATGGTATATTGGATGTATGTATTTATGTATGAATGTATGTACAAAAATTACATTTAAAATCTTAAATCGCAAACTTAAAGGCAATGCAAGATCAGGCAGTAGGGGAGATAAGGTTCCCTGTTTAGATTTGACTTGTGTTTGAACTCTTTGATCATATTTGAAAAAAAAATTAAGACCAAAGTGCGGGTTTTTTTTTATAGATGGTTTTCAGCTTCAGTTGTCACATACAGTATTGCCCTAGAATCAGTGGAGCAGTGGGGACTAGTGAGGAAATGCAGACAGGATGCAACAAACTGCAGTTGCATTTTTCTGCGGCACTGTGGGAGAGGGATACAGCAGATCCTCACGTGCTCGGCTTGCGCTCGCAGGACAGCTTTGCTTGCAGGACCTACTCGATAGAGATAAAGGAGCAGGGACGCGCAACAGTGTTTATCGGCGCTCTCCCGCTGGCTGCGTGCGCTGCTGTTCGCGGAACTCGTGGCAGCCGTTCAAACGAAACGGGTCTCCTCCTTCCTGCCGGTGGTTTGTGTTCCCCAGCCGCTGCTGAAAAAGAAAGTGACACTGCGCTGTGCAATCTGTGGTCGGAGATGAAGTGTTGCCGTTGTTTCTTGCTGTAAATTCATTGAGATTCTCAGTATTCTTTATTATTTATCTACAGAGTTTCATCCCTGCTTTAAATCAACAGCAGAGAGGCTCTGAAACTCTGATGTGTGTTAGTATCTTCAGAAGGCTTGTGCATGCAGTCCAGTATACTGTGGTGTTATTTTGCTGTATAAATAGTGGCTGCCTTTTTATAGTGATGAAAGCATGAGTGAAATGTTTGGAAAAACCTATCCCTGTACTTAATTACCCATGCTTTCTAATTGGATGTTAAGGGCTTGCTTTGTACAATGGCATGGAGGTTTCTGAGACTTGATGTTGTCTGTACATGATGTGACTGCTTGTATTCTGAAAAAATGGTGCTATAACATTTTGTTTTACTGTAGCTTTTTGTAGAAAGAAGAAGAAGACAATGTGGTGGCATTGCATAACAATGGATAAGTGTGGGAGTTTGTAAATGCATTTTATGTTTTTGTTACTCAATTTGTGTATTAATTGCCTTTATCCAGTTTTTACAAAGTATTATACTATCTTATGTAAAAAAGATAAGTTGTATGATTTGCTTATTTCAATGTAAGCATGCATAATAGTCATAAAGAATTTATAATTGCATACCCAGGGCACTGTTATATTGCACATGCCATTGAAAGGCTTGATATTTTATTTAGTATATCCAGAGGTAATACAAGGCTCTTTCATTGGGTTTGTGCCACCCTGCAAAGCTTCAAAGAAACTTGCAGGATCTGTGTCTTGGTTTGCGGAGTTCAGTGACCTTCACCCATGTCTCTGTATGGTGGAAGCACTGGGTCTGATTAGTGTTAGAAGTGAGAGGCAAGGCATCTTGCAAAGCAGGTAATGTACAGTAGTTAACAAATACTGTGAGATGCTTCATCCACTCGTGCTGTAGGATGGCAGTACCTCTAACAATGTTTTTGCAAAGGCTGAACACTGTTTTGATCTGATGCAAAATATTTATGAAGTTGTGATTAATGTCAAGGGGACATGGAATGGCAGTCATAATAGGAATTGCTTATCTCAGATTGGAGTCATTTACTATTAATGTCATATTTATATGACTCCAGTAGACATCCTACAGCTGATATTTTTCAGATTCTCCCTTAATGTGATGCTGCTTTTATCTTGATTGCCATGCAGAAACATATTAATCACCTTACCCAGCTGAATTTGCTATAAATGACATGCTGCATCTGTGATCATCCCTCAGTGAGCAACTTTAACCTGTCAGTGAGATCTGATAAGAAATGGTGTGAATCATTAAGTGCTGATTTATATTTCAAAGTCTACAGAAGAACAAGACGTGACAGAAAACTGAAAAATTGATTACAGGGGGAGTTACGGCCTGTTTTGTGTATTTTTTGGAAAATGCTAGAAGTCACAAAGACAAAGGAAACAACCGGTATCATAAAACTCTCTGGTACAAGGCAAATACATTATTTTTTAAGCAGGTGCCTGCAATCTCTTGATGAAATAATTCTTGTAAGATTATTCTTGTTTAACAAATAACCCTACACAGGCTAGGATGGCCTCATTTTTTATTAGGCTCAGTGAAGGACATTCACAGGTGTGGAAATTGAAGTAAAAGAAACCAGTGAGTTTTAACAATGAACATTTTTTACAGTGTTATTTAAACATGAATTAGCTCTAGGTTAACGAAGAGTGCAAAAAATATACAAATACAAATAATGGCTACTGGTTTGACATTGTGATTATGATGCTGGTGAATATGACCTACTGTACTCTCGGTCTGCCATGTTAAAATGCAGGTTCACATGGGGAGCTGTGTCTTGGCTGCAAAGCAACAAATAAAGGTTCATTCTACGCAGAAAAGTAGAAAGAAGAAAACAACATTTCAGCTGCTAAGCCTTCAGAGGTGTGTACTGTACAACCTGACATTCCTCACACCTATAGAATGGAAAAACAGCTGAAAAGTTTAGTTTTTTTCTTTCTATTTTCTTATCATGTTAAAATGGAGCAGCATGAAGGCCTGATTCCATCAAATCACCCTTCGCGCCCAGAGCCCACCCCCCATTACTCTTCTGAGGAAAAATCCAAATATGTATGTTGACAGGCACTAAGCTGCAAAGGGTCTGTTATTTTTGTTACCAAAAACCACAAAAATATTTTTAAAGTTAATTATTTTGCAATAAAAATGTCACATTTTAGAAAGCATGAGGTGGATTTCTTTTGTGTTTTGAAATACTCTGTTACTCTGGACAGTGAACAAAATAAAGCAGCTTTGAAGGGCTTGAATTAACAGTTTGGTGCGTGACCTTTAAGCAATGCAGCAATCAGAGCAGGATCTGCATAATCAGCCTTTACAGGAAGCAACCTTCCAGGCTCCTAGATGCATGGCTAGCTGTACAGTTTCAGGGAAGTGTCTAAGTGACCCTGTGATGGGGACAGCACTTTCAGTGTGAGAGGATCAGTGTTGCTTTTTGAAGTACAGGACCATCTTGACAAGTATTTTATCAGAAATACCAATCTGCTGTCCATCCATCCCTCCATTCCAGGTCTAACAGGACACATTTGTGCCTGCAACAGGAGCTGACATTGGGTTTTAGATCCTGGGTAGTACAGAATTCTTCTTCAGATAGAGACCTGGGACATTGGTGTGGTACAATTCTCTGTGATTGGGTGTGTGGCATTGTGAGACTGTGGCAGGGGGCATACTATAGCTACTCTTGTCACAAAAACGTGTTTTTTAGTTGGTCAGAGTGCCATCAATAATTACTAATGAACTTATTCTAAGTTAATATTCTGTCACTCAAATTGATTCATGCCACTGAGGAAAAATGCATCCTATAACAGAACAAGGATTGTCCTTTTATACAGCATTCATGAGGTTTTGGTCATGTCTTGCTTGAAATCATTCAAATAATGTTACACTGTAAACACAAAGTTCAGATTATTCACTCTTTAATTGCAAATAATCTAGACAAATCCACAACAATGTTCTGCTCTGTGAGTGTACAGTGGAATCCGCAGGAACTATACAGAGGTCTCCAAACGTTTCCAGTTTCCCTGGGGTATGAAAGGAAGTAACACACAGGACATTAAGTAGGTGCATGCATCATCATGGTTTAGGCCTGAGAGCGCTGAAGAATGTAGACAAATGGTCATTGTCCTCTACATGTTGGCATGTGGCTAAGAAATAATGAATCTACCTGTGTCCATTGTTAAGGTCAGGAAAAGGACACAAATGTATGTTGTCACCAGTGGATATGAGCCATGTGGTCAAGGAGGCAACTGTATATACAAAGGCAACAGCTGGAGATCTCAATACAAAAACACTGCCTTTTGAGGGCAAACCACAAAATGAGATGACTTGAATTTCCCAAACTATATGTGAATAACAATTGGATTTATGTTCAGATTCAATGAAAACTGAGCTTTTTGGACATGCTCATTGGTGTTATGTCTGGCATACAAATGTGAATCTGATGTTGAGAAAACAGTCACACCCACTATGAAATACGGAAGATGGGTCATCTTAGCTGGAACAATACCCAAAGGAGACCTGTGGCCAGGAGGCTACCCCCTTAACCAAGCAGAATAAGCCAAACCTATCTCATCAAAAGTTCCAAACATTCACAAAGCGTGAGTTTGTCATCACATCAACATGAATCTGTGCGTCAACGTCAATGTGTTAGGTTGCTGTCAGGCGTCCTGCACACAGAACATTAGAAAGGACACGGGAAAGGTGACCACTTTGTCCACTGGTTTTATTTTTCCCCCCATCCCTTGACACCTCCCCACCAGAAAAGCTACTCTGAATTGACCTGACAAACTCTAATGTGCATCTCCTTTGTGTCATAAACACATAATGCACCCTTCCCTCCCTGCTCCACGTTTCAGAATGTACTGTAGGCCACTTAACAATACTAGGCAGTTCCACTAAAATGACAGCACAATCTGCCACACCCAAAAATGTTGGTATCCCTGAAATGCGAACCACACAATCAAAAAATAAATTGCGAAAGGGCTTTGAAAAGCCACAAAAACTAGGAAATGAAGAAAAGAAGCATCCACACCCTGTCATACAATTAGAGAAATGAGTAGAAGTCTTGACCATTACTGCTAGGGAAGTGTAGCAGATCTCAACAGATCTCAGAATCTAACCAAGGTTGGGCCTGGTCAGGACTGGAATGGATGCCCTAAGACACACGAAGTTGCTGCAGTGAGGGATGTTGGTGGTGCTCTTCCTCTGGATCAGAATTTCCAAGCCGTAACTGTGCTGCAGGATGTGCTATCCTTCGGGAGAGACCTTAATCCAAGGTCCTGAATATGTGGCCATTAAAATTCCCTTAGCACTGTTCTTTAGACTAGGGGTGATAACCCATTTGATTGCTACACTGGTTAAAATTCTATTCTGTGCCTGTACAATCTCGCCTTCCTTAAATTCAACTTTAATTGAACTGGGTGGATCCTACAGTATGTTCTACCTAAATCACTGCAGATGCTGATCAGGAAGAAAAGCGTTAGAAATGCCAGAACTGTTATGAGTTGTATTATTAAGTGTGTTACTCAGATCAATTTCCCTTAATTTGAAACAAACCAGAAACTCGAAAGCTCCATGCTTTGAGAGGAACACGGGCACCTGATCGACGGCTTTCCCTGAAGCGGCGTCAATTTTTGCCACTGCTGAGTGTCGTCGTTTCAGTTTCTTTCTTGTAAAATGGGGCAGCAGAAATTCATTATCTGTGAACATCTCATCTCCCGTCTGCCTGCCTCGCACCTTTAATGATTGAACAGCATCTGGTAACAGGCGGCAGTTCAAAGCCGTTAGCGACCGAAGAGAAACCAAAAAAGTTTTCCGAGACGCACTTCCTATTTAGCAGTTTTTAATGTTTGCAGCCTGCGCTTGTGTTCAAACTGACACCTAACCTTCACTGAACACATGATGTTAGGAATAGCATTCTAGCAGTAACGTTTTTTTATTATTATTATTTAAAGGGAAGTCGATTTCCTTGTTTTCATATTTATGTATTTATGCATTTATTTATTCGTTTTCATCTGTTATGGCTGAAATGGTGGAGAATTCGTACTCTTAACACTGTTTAAGAGTTCATAACAGCCCGTTCCAAGCCATCGAGAATCGTTAAATATGAAGTTGTCGGGATGGTTCTGTTTGTGGGTGAGTATTGTTTTATGTTGCTTGTGTGTTAACTGTGTGTACGTGTAATACGAACTGTTTTTACCTGTGCAGAGCTACTGTAGACGTGTTTTGTGCCACCCTTGAGATAAATCATTTTCTAAGAAACAAAAACACAACGTAAAGAAAAACAGTAACAAGGAAAACTCAGTTTCACACACTAAAAGATTGGATGACATTTTAGTTTTTTTTAATAAGAGTTATATGTGCAATTAACTTTGCGATATGCTAAACGAATAAAGTCTTTGTATTAGAAAATTAATGATACTTGTTTGGATGCTGCATTATTTTTAATGTTTGCCCAGAGGGGAGGAACCGGCCGCGGAGCTGACACACGTGTACGCCGGTATTTTGAGACTGCCTTAGCATAGCGCTTTCTTCTTAAGTACAGGAGTTTCAGGGTCACCTAGTTAAAACAGAAATTCTTCACACAGCTCAGACAGGTGAGATGAAAAAGTGAGGTGGAGATTCTATAGGTGTGTCAACCGAAGTGTTCAGGACAGTAGGTTACAAATGTATTATGAGCTTCTTTCTTGGTGTGCGAAAAGAGAGCATCCTATAGCTGAAAACCCTTTAAACTTCAATATAAAGTCCAAAACAGACTTCCAAAACCGTAGGGGGTCGTACAGATTACTACAGTATGTGACAATTTAAAAATGTATTCGTTTCAAATTATAGAGCTGTTGAAGATAAAATGTGACCTTTTCAAAAAACTGGAATTGTAGAGTTGGTCCTCTTCAAGAAAGAAATGGAATTCCTGCTGATCACAAATAATACGTTTATCATATTGCTTTAAATCTTTCCTTTAAATCTTTTTCATTTAAAAAAAGCTGACTGGACAGAACACCATTAAAAAAAAAAAAAGATCATGAAACCTAATCACACTTCCCCCAAATGTGGAACTATCTTTAGTTGTGAACGTGGAAAGTGTTTTTAAACAACAATTTCATTTCTGCAACAACTGAAATCTTCTTTGTCTTTTAAGAGTGCCGTAAATCGAACGCTGTATGCAGGATTTCAAAAGCATTGAACACTCTTTCCCTTTTTTTTTGTTCATGATTTAAAGCAATGCAAAGCAAAGCAATGCAACAGGCGTGGCGGGTGGTCAGTTAGTGCCTGGGTAGTGCGGGTTGACTCTTCCGTTTGTCTGTGGGTAATTCCAGCTGTGGGTGTTTACTGTTAAGAGTTCGACAGCATCTCTAGTGACGGTCATTTCAGAGAAGCCAAAGAGCAGGACAGGAGCAGTCTCTCTGCGTCAGAACCATGCCAGGAGCACAGGGATGGACTGTTAAGTGGCTCAGTCTCTCTCCCTATTCTGAGATCTGACCGGAACCTTGGCTATCCATGTCTGGCCTCTTTGAACAAGGCACTGTAAGCTACTAGGAAGTAGAAAGAGACACCACCTGAGATCACTATTATTGGTTCCCATTAGTCTTGAACCCTCATGTCAGCACATTTCATGTTCCTCTGATAAGAAGTCACAAATGTGTTAGGTCTACCTTTTCTGTAGAGAGGAAAGGGAAATTTACCGGCTGGCTTTACCAGGAATTAATAGGTGAGAGCAGCTTGGTTTTGTTACGTTTAATTAATAACACATTGGATTATGAATACAGTGCTACAGTGTACAGGTGAATGAGGAACGTCCAATAAATCACTGGTGCACTACAGTGCTGTGGAGGGGAGGAAAGCAGTCAGTCAGTCCCTGAGATTGCATGAGATGTGCCAGCCACACTAACCCACTTCACACCTGCCCAGCAGTTTCAAGATCAAAGGTGAAGGAAAAGGGTTGAGACAAACTATCAGTATGTTCCCTTGGAGATGTGTACTGTACAGAGCCTCCCGCGACAGCAGCACTAACATTTGCATAGATGTCTGTTAGAATCTCCCAGCCAGCTGTGAGTCACTTTCAGAAACTCCTCTCACTGTACTGACATTTACGCAATTCTGGGTCATTTCTCTGGAAATGGCACTCAAAACTACAGACCAGCAGCTATTTTCTGAGCTGCTCACTTGTCACTGTGGTTAATAAGATTGGAAAGGTTCCTATTTGAAACACAATGAAGAGCCTTATTCCAAGTAGCAGAAAGGGAATTGAAACCATGGTTATCTGTAAACCTGTTGCCTTAATATGCTGCTCATTATTATTATTATTAATTATGCTCATTTCCCCAATAGCATTGCATTCCTCCACTTCCTGAGACCCACACACAATAAAGTAGCCCTATTCTGAAAAGCATATTAGACAATTAATATAAAATGGATCTTTCATCTTTTTAATCAACGAGACATTCAAAGTTTTGATGCAAAAGTGGCTTGATTTTTTTTCTAATTCTAGTCAAGGGGAACCCATTTTTTAACAATTATTATGTTCACACTGTACGCAGCCTCGAATTAAAATCATTAATTTGATCTTTTACAATTTACAAAAAACATTTTTGTCTTGGAAAGACAGTTCAAATTTCACCCTAGAAATTGTACCCCAGACCGGAGGAAGTCTGAATATAAATGGGTATCCTCTAAAAGTTTGGTCTCCCATTGAGTCACAGCTTTTCGGATTGCTGAGCTCTGTAACCTTGTCGAGAAGAGAAGATGCGAGTGGAAGCAAGGCTTGGGAGCAAGCACTTTAAAACTCAGGCACAGAACAGGTCAGCAGTCAAAAAGAGCTGTAGTTTAGACAATACTTGGTAGACTAAAGAATAGTGTCATATGTTCCGAGGTAAATAATGAATTCACAGAGTAACTCAAACATAAAGAAATGCAAAGTATCTTCAAATACTAAGAAGAGTCCCCAGGAGTTTTCGTAGCACCTCTTTGGCACGTCGGACAGTCTCAACTGGAGATTCAGTTCTCCCCTGGCTGCACCTCAGCTCCCTCAGTCAGCAGTTTCCATCTTTTTCTGGGGCACTCCTGTACTCTCTGTTGCCTCTCTCCAGATTTTTGGGGTGTGCTGTACATGCCTGCTCACCAGCCACCTCGCACGCCCGCTCATAAGACGGCAGGCATTTAAACAGAGTGGAGCTCAGCTGTCAGTCACCCAGGAGTGACAAGTGACTCACGCTGACTGCCTGTCACACCTGGCAGATCAGGGCTCTCTACAACTGACACCTTCCTCTGCACCTTGTCTGTTTATCACACAGCTTCTGCCTCTGACCTTGGCTTCCCACACCTGGAAGGAGAGCGCCCCCTACAGCACAGCGCAGTGGACTTCTGCCACTCTCGCCAGGACATCCAGAACAACACACAGGAAAGGAAATGGGCGCGTGCGCAGGCACACCGTCTCCTGTGGGGAACACCAATTCTTGGACAGAGAAGCAAATCGCTGCTGCAATAAATGTCTTCCAGGTCAGCTTTAATACCTTTTCCTCTTCATAGACAGACAGAGACCGACTGATAGGAACATAGACGCACACGCTGATAGAGAGGGAAACTGGAGAGTTCAAAGGGTTTAGAGACATTATGTTCAGTGTGTGCCATTGCGTGCTCTGAAAGATGACGCACTCGTCTGATACAGTGCCAGCTTTTGCACAACTGCTAACCAAAACAAGATCTCCCGAGATGAGCACTTGATAGTCGAGATAACATTGGGCAATGCCCGAGTCAAGAAAGAGGCCTCAGCATTGTGGGTGTGAGAAGGTCACGGAGACAGTGAACTGAATTGAGTGGTCAGGAGAGATGTGTTTCTGGTCTCCTCTGCTTGTGTATGAAGTACAAAGTTGAGTACAAATCCTGACTCCATCAATGCAGGGGTAGTTAAAATACAGTACTTGTGTCCGCTTCATTTGGATAAACTTGGATCACTTGGATTGCTTTACCCTCACATGAGGTAGTGTGAGTGTTTGACTCTAGCCCAGGAGTGAGACAAATATATTTGCCAAAGGCAGTGTAAATGTAGAGCAAGTTACCCTTTTGGGGGGGTAAAATACTTCTATGTAATACATGGAATAATATCATGCTATATTTGTCCTAGTATTACACCTTGATCTTAGCCATAATCAATCGTGTGATTCTCCATTGCTTTATCGTGCCCTCATTCCATCTAACTACGTTGGACCTCAAGCAAGATAGATGTTTCTAACCACTGTATATTATACAGTAGTGTGCTGTGATATTCCTATATAAAGAAGAATGAAGGAATGATGATGCTAAAGGTAACCATAGTACAATAGTAAAATACTGGTGAAACCATAATAAAGGTCATATTTGGTAGGAATTTTTTTTTTTTAGTTTTTTAGAAGTGATAGTGAATGATAGGTGGTTATACTGTACACCTTTAAAATGAGGAAAACATAGAACTCCTCATCTAAAAATACAGAGGCTTATTATAACTACTGCTACTGCTGCTACTATTTCTACTATTACTATAATAATCACATGCAAGTTTGTAGGGAAAATGGACAGTAGATTAAGTTGGGTGTATAATCTTGTTCCTTTTACATCTTGGCTGGAGAAGCTTTTGAATAGCCCTCGCATGTGGTGTGTGGTGTATAAAAAGGTCTTTCTTGGTTCTTTCATGCCTCTCCTAACCTGATCTGCCTTTGTCATGGCTTTTTTTAGGTCACTACAAACAATCGTCCTGCTCAGACAATACCAACCAGACTCGCTGTGCTCCATGCAAAGAGGGAAGTTTCATGGACCAATACAACCATGTGCTAACATGTCACAGGTGTCGTTCGTGCGATCATGCAAGTAAGGGACAGATCGGCAGTGCTGCCTTTCACACAGCATCCAGATTGTGCTCTCCGCTCATGGAGAGAAGGGGTTTCTTGTAGGAGGAGTGAGCAAGGGGGAATGATGAAGGGTAGAGCGCGTTATCTTCTCTGCAGGATGAGGTAGAGCAGACATCTACATGTAGGCCCCATTGAATGAAGGAGGTCAGTTCTTCTGACAAAAGCTGATGTTATAAAGCTTAATCCTTGACATTTGTATAAGGTGGAGATGAAATACAGTTGAGATGGACAGGGTCGCATAATTGGCTACCAAATAGAAAATCTCTCTCTGTTTTTTGAACCCCCTGGAATGTTTTCCTATTTCATGTTTTTGCTGTAGATACCACTTTCATGTCTTACAGCTGACTTTGTTGTTAGGATGAACAAAATCATATTTCTCTCTATGCTGAAATGTCGAATCAATGATTACTTTTTTACATACCCTCGCTGGTTACTGTCAGCAGCCGTGTCCTGTCTGAGACCCAAGACCCCCTTGTATCCACAAGGTGAAACTGAGGAAGTGCAGGCCGGCTCCCAAGCCCGCCCACCCATTAAACCGCTCACCTATTGGTGCACAGCAAGGTCCGCAACAGCGCTGACTGGGGGAGTGGTGTGTCAATCACTGACTGGGAAGGTTTCTCTTGAAACTTAGAGAGCCCTGGTCAACTAATCCCAGGCGAACTCCTGGCAATACAAAGCCAATTCCTTGCAAGCACCTGGAGAAACCCCGGTCACCATCAGGCAGGGACATGACGCAGGTTCGAGCACATCTGGCTTATCGTGCTGATTGCGAGCACTTTCATCAATCAGGAGTCCCTTCAGAATGAAATTTAAAATAAACCTCTAACTTGATATGTGATGGAGGCAGGGGCTTTGGCTGTTTCTTTGGGTAAGAGCTATCTCAACCATGTTCTGTGCTACTCAGAATTGGAGGAGGTGAAGAAGAGCTGCAACTCCACGTCCAACACAGTGTGCGGTTGTAAGAAGGGCAGTTATCGCAAGAACGACAGTCAAGACTTCCCCTGTGCCAAGTGCAGTCTGTGTCACAACCGGACCATCAAGGAGAACTGTAAGTATGCACACAGCTGGAGGGACTGGGAGAGGGGCAGAGATCTGCAGTTTGATGAGGTATTGATGTAGAAATGTATAAGCAACATAGAAAGATACAGCTACGATGAATTAAAATATACCAGTCGAAATACACCAGGAAGTAAGATGCAGCCCGCATTCCTGGTCCATCTGGTACCTTATCACTTTTTACTGAATCACTGCCATTCTTTCATTTTGTAATTGATTAAGGGATTGTATCATTTTTGAGAAACTGAATAAGCAGAAAGTCTGGGTGGGAACTAGGCTGCCTAGAGGGGTACAGTAGAAGGACAGGCCAAGATGTGCTGGATTGGGAAGCTCGGAGAAGAGCCGGAAGACGTCCTGATCTAACTCAAGGCTGTACTGTCTTGCAGGCTCTGAAAATGCAGACACTCAGTGCGGCGATTGTGTTCCTGGGCTTTATCAAGACAAACACGGAGAGTGCCAGCCTTGCCGCAAGTAAGAGAGTACAAATGCAGCGGGGGTTGAAATGAGTCCCAACACAGGGTGCTTTGGTAGACTTCAGATTTAGCTAGCTGCAAAAATTACGGTAATGTTGAAAAGAAAATCTATTTAACAGAGTTTATCTATTTTATCTCCAATACTTTATAGGGAAAATTGTCTAAAAGAAGCAGATGTGAAATATCCAGCAATCGGTGATACTGGACATACTGTATACAAGAGCCCACAGGTCTAGACAGAACTGGCTCAGATTGCTCTGCAGTGGGAGTCATGTTTCCTTGAATTCACCATGTAATACTGTAGGCTGTAGGCTTCCCAGAGCACTGAAAACACTGAAAACACACTGACCACAAACATTTTGACCTGCCTTCTTTTCCAGTTTCTGACATCAGCCCCTTTCCATTTTTATTTCTTGGTTATGAGCTGAGGTATGCACTGAGTGATATCCCTCTGTAGCTGCCTATATGACAGCTTGTAATTGCATGCAAATAGGTCACTGGGCTGTGGATTTCCTCTCGCATGAAGCAGAGTGATAAGATGCTATCAGGCTTGGCAGTGATGTAAGACGCCTCTGCATATTCTAATGTGCAGTTTCCTTAAAAACACCCCCTCCCTCCAATGAAGCATATTACTTTTCCCAGTTGTTCTGTCATCCAGAGAGAGAGAGAACACTGTCATTCATTTTCAGATCAGGTGGCAGATTGTAGGTCCTGTCGTCTGACTTTTTTTCTGGAATTTACTTGTCTGTTGAAATCCACCAATTGCAGTTCTTTCGTTGGCATTTGTAAAAGGAAATATCGGGACAGAGGGAACTTTATTTTAAGGTGCTCAAATACGCTCAAACTAAAAAAAATAGAGGCCATATACTGTATGAGCAGCATGAACAATTAGAGCCATTCACAGCCCTGTCATGCCCCAGTACATACGGTACAGAAGGTCTTGTGTTTTCTGTGTGTCTATGAATGGATCTGTTCCCAAATTGTTATGTTGGTTTTACCTTCAGCTAAGGTTGTGAAGAGAAAGATAGGTGGTGGGACTGAGATCTGAGGGCTATTCTGGCAAGGAAAGGCAGTCAAAGTGTGTCTCACACATCTCAAGACAGCTACTGTAGAGGTTTCCTGCTGCTGTGAGAGACCCTTTTTGTTACTTGGGGTTTCTAATGCTTACAACCATAAATTATGTATGTAAGAATTGATATAGTCATATTGTGATAGACATTGGGTGTTAGTAGATAGTAGATACAAGCTGCAAAGGTTTGGTAAGAGTTACATATTTAAGTCAAAATAATAGCTTGGATGCTAGTTCAAGTACATATCGTACAACTCATAGAAGTTAATGACACAGCTCCTCTGGTCAGGAAATTCTGAGCAAGGCCATATGGTTTCTTTGGTTTAATAAGGCATATAAACCATGGAATGGTACAGAAAACACATGAGGGTGTCAGAGGAACAGTGATAAAATGGCAAAATTCACTATGCAAATTACCAGTGGTGCTGTGTAGAGGGGGTGAGAGGCAGTGAAGCTCTCCGGCTGTAGACACACTTTTGGGTACAATCCAAGCTCATATCAGATCCAGTCTGTTAACCCTCAGACTGGGCGTCTCATACCAACGGGGTCGTGCCAGTCCCAGCTCAGAGACTGACTGACTATGTTCTCTTCTCTTCTTCCAGGCAGGACTGCACAGAGGACAACAAAGACGCACCTCCAGGTGATTCAGAAAGCTTAATTAATGGAGCCAGTAATGTACCAGAAGTAGTCATTAGGAAAGACTTACAGCAATGTGCACGAAATTACATAATAAAAGACTATCTTTTTAATCCAAAGGATTTATGTTAACTTTTTAAAAAACCTTTTTCCCGCGCAGAAAGTGCAGGCAAAATTTCAAAAGACAGGGGTACATTTTAAAGGATGCATTTGAATTTGCACATTAGATATTTTTTCAAAATGTGGGTGTTTAATGATCCACCCATCCCCTTTTTTAAAGGATAAGAAATTACTCCCCCCACCCTAAAGCAATAGAAGTTATTCAAGCCAACCTTTACATTAAGATTAATGTAAAAATAAACATAAATCAAATGCTGTCAGTTTTTCTAAGAAAATAAATAACTTGAAAGGCGAGAGCAATTTCTAACTGTTTTAACTATAACTAACTAGTGCAGCAGATTATAATTGTCTTAGAATTGTCAAAAGTAAGCAGTTGTAGGTTTAATGTTGCACATTTCTCATTGTGTTGCATTAAATGTGTACGATGCCATCACATAGTAGTATATCTTGCGTGTGGACATGCATGTGTTCCCAAACTGGTTGTGCAAGTAGGGAATTGTAGTATAGTCAGAATGAGTCACATTCTCAGCAGTGCTTCTTTTATGGACTGTGGTGCAGGGGTGGGGGAGTGTTTAACGTGCATTTCTGCATTTGAGTCTTTCAGTTTTGGAGTCTTTTCTGCATGATTTTTGTGTCTGTTCTCTTATGTTACATCTTTGAGCTCTGATGTTTCCCAATGTGCAAATGTTGGCATCCAACATTTCAGGGTATGGTGGCGCAATGGTTATCGTTAGTGCTTAGTTTCGATATCCGGACCTGGGTCGCTATCTGCATGTAGTTTGTATCTTCTCCCCATGTTCATTGGGGTTTCCTCCCACAGTCCAAAGACGTGCTGGTAGGTTAATTGGCTTCTAGTGTGCGTGTGTTTGTGTTTGTGCGTGCCCTATGATGGACTAGTGTCCATCCCAGGGTGTATCCTGCCCTGTGACTGTTGCTGGCTGGGATAGGCTCTGGCTCCCCTGCGCCCCTGTACTGGATAAGGTGGTTAGAAAATGGAAAGGTGGATTTCTGAGTATTGTTCCCAATGTACCAGTCATGCTGTCTGTGTTTGTGTTTAGAGGACTGGAAGCAGACCTTCACGATCCTCTTCAGTTTGCTGGTGTTCTTGATGCTGGGGGGGCTGGTCACTCTGAGTCTCCGCCAGTACTTTACCATAGGGGGAGGACTGCGCCAAGCTGCTGGTAAGACCCATAATGTACCCCAGTGAACAGCTAGGTTATAAGACCAGGAAAAAACGAGCACTCATACATCATCTGGGTCTGACTGATTCATCACGACCTGCAGAGTGACCTTTTTCTAGCTGCTTATTTATTACACACTGGTATAATACAGGAACAAATACTAGTAACAAAAGTAACACTATTAAGAAGTTAATAGTATTAGTGATAACTTCCGATTTATTTCATTGTTGGTGCATTACAAATAATTTGTTTTAGTATTGTTTATATATACTAAAACAAATTATATGACCTCTTATGTATGTTTTTTTGCACATACATTTGCGCATGTTCCCGTAAACCTTTATGCATGTGATGATAGCATCTTGTGTAGCAATTATAAAGAGATTATGAAGCCATTTTACAGCAACATTCAAATAAAGAGTTACCCATACAACAAATCTACATGAATTATGACCCAGACACTGGAAATCCATACCTAAAACATGGCCAGTGCATCGTCTTCTACATTCAAGCACATTAAATATTACATTCTACGATATCCCTCATGAAACTTTTTATCAGTACATGTACTGTAGTACCTGCACATTTTGCTTTCAGTGACCTGTTCTGCATTGGAGCGTAGGAATACCTTACTTTACTTCTGTAAATATGCTTTAGAAGCATTTAGCATCCTATTTCGTTTATAACAAATCTGTTCCTCATACGAAACAAATTGATTTAAGTTACTACTGGTCAGACTGACTAAAATAAAACGCATATGCAAGAGATTTAGATAAACATGTTCACCACATTTAAAAAAAAAACATTTGCTCTAGAAAGAGTCCAGAGAAAAGCAACCAGATGCAGTCTCGGACTTAAAGGAATATCCTACACTGAAGTATGGACAACTGCGAATGTTTTAGTCTTGAAATAGAAGTCTATGAGGGGACCTGACACCAGTATTCAAAATCATAAACATTGATATTGTCAGCGTAGCAGACGTCTTCAGAAAGCAAGAAAAGACCATGGTAGTACGTTTAAGACTGAAACAAGACTGAGAACCTCCTTACCCAAAGGGTTCTGAGAGTTTGAACAGGTTACCCAGCTATGGTGTTGAAGCTGATACCCTGGTTACCTTGAGGAAAGAACTGGAGACCAATTAGCTAATAACTACCAAACAGACTTCCTTTCTTTTATAACTGTTGGCTCATGGCTCAGTCACTGGTGGGCATTGAAATGGCAAAGCAAAGGGCCTTCACACCTGCCCCTGTCTTGTGCAGGTCTAGCAGTATTTATGGCTTTATCAGTGTGAACCACTTTTACTGACAAAGTCTTGCATGCCATTGTCATAGGTCGGAAACTTGCCTGCTGCCTTGTTTTAAACACATCTGTGTTAAAGTAGTGTGCAGTCCCATCTAAATAGATGTGATGTTGTGATAGAATTGAACTTATTTGCTTCTTCTTCCCTGGTGTAACTCGTGTAGTAGTCAGCTGATGGTAAGACCCAAAATGCCTGCATCTGTCATGTTGTGTTGATCTTCCTTGGTGTTTTGTATTCTGTCCACAGGCCAGTCTCCTGGGGAATCGAAAGTGCCTATCCACTCTGGGGTATGTGCAGCATCACAGCTCCTGTCTTTGAATGTTTCTCTCTATCTGTCGTTGTAGAAAACCACGCAAAACTAATTGACAACATTTTTATTTCTTTTTTCACTGCCAGGATTTGTCCATAATGATGGATAGCAATTGAAGGAATCTATTCCATCAATGTATTAATCCAATACATAAATTCAAGCCCAGAGGTGCTGATGTAATATTAGAATTACTAAGATCCTGCTAGCTGTAATCTTGTGAAGGGCTGTGGATTTTACAGCATACAGTATATTATATTGGTGTTTTAATGTGTTGTGCTGTTAGCGTCACTTAGAGTTTAAATGAGATTAATTTGGGTTTATGCCTTATTACAGGTTTCAGGAATGCCTGGAATTATCACCGACTCCCAGTTAGAACATACCACCCTGCTGCAGTCAGCCCTCCCTCCTCTTGACAGACCTGCAGTTCCCTCACCTGATGTCCAGACTGACAAATGTAATTTCCCAATTTCTCACCTGCGCGGTCTCTGTGTGTTGAGGTGTCGAAAACTGCTGTCCACCTGCCCCCACTTGCTAATGGCACAAAGATCACTGACCTCGGTGATCTCCTGCAGGACCGTACGGCCCCCCCCAGTTCGAACATACCAACCTGCTGCGTTCTCCGATGTGCCTCCACTGCAGTTAAGGGCTCCAGGTGGAGTGAGCCCTGCTAGCATTGTGATTTCTCAACAAGGGAAGCTGATGGGAAGCGTTTTCATGTCAGGCCTGAAAAATCATTGTTGAATTTCTGGGACAGCAGTAGGTCAAAAAGGTGTTGGTGTCGTGTACTTTAATAGGCAGATGAGAAAAACAATTTAGGCACGGTATTTGCTGTGTTGTGGTGTGGTGAAGTACATAGGCTCAGTGGGGCTTTTTTGGCCAGGTGGGCGTTCAATAGCAAGTGGCCTTTTTTCTTGCATTTTAAGGGTAACCAACACTGGCGTTACTTACGTACTTGAAAGGAATGCGTTTCGTGACCCGAACGTTACAGAAACACGCGCTTTTTTTTTCGCACCTACATTGCTTTGCAGATTTTACATTTGGCTTTCTGTGTCTAAGCCGGCTCTGGGCGCGGCGGGTTATCTTTGCAGTATAGCGTCGAGCTATCTGGTCTGCGTTTTTTTTTTTTATCAGTTGGTCTCTGCCCTGAAAATGAAATGCACTGAGGAGGAAGTAGAGGGATGGACTCGCATGAAAAGACTTGAGAGGACATAACCAGTCAGCCATTAAAGAGCAAGTTCGATACTTACACATGTATTTATAGAGTAGGGATACGTACTCCCCTCACTGCTAGTAAAATGTCCATTCCAGTAACAGTGAAACTTTGGCCTACGGTAAAGGCACAGGTATGGGCCACAGACTCAAGGCGCCTGGACAGTTTGGCTTGAAGTCCTTGAAGGGGGGGGTGAATTTTCCAGAACTCCATGCTTTATTGGCTCTTTATAAAAGCTCAGGAGCATGCCAGGAATGTTTCAGTTTCTTCAGCCTCTGGCCCCATGTACTCCGCCTGTACTACCCTGCGCTTGGCACGCGTCTTCCCGGTTCTTAATCGCTCTCTTTCTCCGCTGGTGCTCTTCCTGTGCTTCCAGGGGCCGTGGCGGCAAAAGAGGAGCCTCCCGCCGACGCCTGGCCCCCCGCGGTGCTGTACGCCATCATCGAGGAGGTGCCCGTGCGGCGCTGGAAGGAGTTCATGCGCGTGCTGGCTCTGCCGGACGGGGAGATGGAGCGCGTGGAGCTGGAGCTCGCCCCCAGCTACCGCGAGCGGCAGTACCAGATGCTGCGGCTCTGGAGCCAGAGACGGGGCGCGGAGCTGCAGAGCGTCCACGCGGCGCTGCACAGCATGGACCTGCCGGGCTGCTCGCAGGAGCTGCAGGAGAAACTAGTCTTCCTGATGACCCCCAAACCCACAGCCCCAGCTCTGTCCTACCCCTCCCTGATCCAGTACAGGCCCGAGGCTGGGGAGGCTTCCGCAGGGCCTGCACAATAACACCACAGCTGACCACACCGAACAACAGCAGAGCAAACAGGCAAGCAAAGGGACAGGCTATGTCTCCCCCTGAGCAACCAGGAGACAGGCTTCAATGAAAGCCCCACTGCAGAAGGAAAAAGACAGATACTGCTCCGCTTGTAGAACTCCACAGCTGCAGGCAGGATGGAACAGAGCCCTCCCCCCATTGCCAGAATGGACCTTGCACTGAGCAGTTGCCAGCCACAGCAACCCAGTGCCCTGGGCTGTCACTCAGCAACACAGTCCCAAGTGGATCACAGCAATGGCACCAGTTACTACAAGCCATGCCCCCACACTGATAGGTTCTCAGGTGCTAATCACTCTTTACAGCAGGATACAAGTTGCAGGTCAACAGTGCCCTACTTTAGGCTCTGGCCACCTCTTACAAAGGAAGTACAGTAAGGACTTTTCCTGGGTGGAAACTGGGGATTGGTAGCACATAGGCTGCATACCCAACTTTGGCTTCTGATAGAATGTCTTGGCTATGGAAAGCACTGTTCTAGCAGGAAACAGAGGGCAACCCACCATTGTAAAGAAGCTCTTTGTAAAGGGGACTATGGTACGGCTCATGATCTCATGATCATTTAATGCGAAGCCACACGTGAAATTGGCAGTAATCGTCACAGCCTTCAGCACTACCGATGCTTCAAACCATCGAATCCAAACCAGTTCTCAGAATCTCGAGCACAAATGATGAAACACAACTCCTTTAAAAGGCACAGAGGCAAAGCTGTAAATTTCCTGTCGACAGAAATGATCTGCGCGTTCTCACACACCACCCTTACCTCCTCACTTGGTCTTGCCCGAGACAAACCGTGTTCAGTGGAAACCTGTACGAGTGCACACACACACACACTTCACATGGACAGACACTAAAAAAAAAAAAAGCTGACACACACTTTCACTTATCGTTAAGATCTCCACAGACGCACCATAGTGCGCAGGAAGCACAGTACAGGTAGACCACAGGAAATCAAGTCCATCTCGGCAGGAAGCAGAAATGCTGTGCATTCAAGATGTTCTTTGGAAGGGAGGAGTTCCACTGCAAGGGAAGTGAGTGAGTCAACCATTCCGCAGAAGACGACAGAAAAGAATACCATGAAAAGATCAAGATTATGGGCAATACAGGGAACTTTCTTTTTCTTCAACTTATCAGTGTGAATTTCAAAACGCATTACTAAAAGTATTTGCCATTTTCTTGAAGAATGTCTATGTCCAATAAATATATAGAAATATATATTGTAAGTAGAATTTTTAATTCAATATACTTTGTCCTGTGTAACACAGATGTGTGTAGACAGTTTTAATGTCATTTTTGTTTTTTTCCAGATTAAATAAAAGGCGTAACCTTACCCCTGGAACTTTTTATCAACACAGTAATTTATTGATTACGTGATGTAAAAATAAACATTGCTGCAATCTGATGATTTTTGCTTTGGCTTTTAATGCAATGTAAAATAAAAATGAAGAAACATAAAAATATTAATTTGGGATTTTAAAACACACTTGTCTAATTAATTATAATTCTCTTAATTCCTTAACAAAAATACTGTGGTCTGTGAAACCATAAAAAAATTACAATGCATAATCACATTATTCAGTCAAAACAATAATAAATACTTCTTGGCATTTATATTGCTCTTTCTATCCCAAAGTTCTTTACATATAAGTGGAGACCAAGTTCATTAACCACTGAAAGCCAATGTATGGCAGTCCCACTACCCAGCACGTTAGGTTAAGAAAATAATTCTCAGTAGTTGAATTACTGTACACTAAAACATGAAGGAGCTTTTGTAAACCCAGAGGAACTAAGCCAGGACACCTACTGTAGTTTAAAATCCATACTCCTTTAAAAAGGGGATTGAAATCTTGCATGATCAAGTAGTCAGGACCTCACTTTAACATCTCCTCCAAAGTTCAGGACCTCCTACAGCAGGGATTCCCAGTTCTGGTCTTCGAGGACCGCACACACCTACTGGTTTTCTTTTCAGACGAGCTTCATTACCCAATCAAGCTGCTCCACTAGAATATTTGCCTTTTTTTTTTCTCCCCAACTGGAAGGTTTGGGTTTTTAACTTACTCACAAAACACAATAGGTAAAAGGGAATTCTCATTAAATTATGGTATAGGAAATTGAGAAACATGTCTGGAATGAAAGCCAGCAGCTGTATGGTCCCGCACTGTGGTTTTGCTCAATACTGGGGCACTGGTTTGCAAATTCTGTACTAGAATGAAGAGCACCATCTGCTGGTCCATTTACACCATATTGCAACAACAACTTGAATTCCCCTGGGGGGTCCCCCATCCCACGACTGAGTGGGCCCACGTGCCCATTCTATGCCCGAGTCAGATCTTAGCTTTTAAGATCTGACAGCAACAGGCTTAAAGGTGGTAAAAGACACCAAAAAGTGCTAATTACAGAGATGGCTTTAAACCATGTCCTAGCTATAGGGCATTTAAGACTGCACTTTCCAGTGGCCTGCTCCTTGATTCAGGTATAGGAAAGCCAACTGCAGAGCTGTTTTACCAGGAAGCTGAACCAAGGACCTAAGAACAGAATTGAATCTCTTTCAGTCGCTTGATTCATTTCAGCCATTAGAGCTCAAATTAACAATATTGGCCCAGATACCACTGGCTTGATCCTACACTGCATTGTAAGCAGACTCCCGTGGGATGGGACTGAGTGCCACCAGGATGGAGATGAATCTCATGGATCTGGATGGGCTGCCATTAGACACAAGCAGCCCCTAAAACTAATTGGAATGTAATGTGATCCTGGCAAAGTGAATAGAGACTGATGGTCTGACAGAGCACGTTTAATCCGACAGGGTTAACATTGGTAATTCCAGATTTTAGGTCACAAAATAAAAAAAACACAATTGTGAATGTTTAAAAAAACATTCGTGGCAAGCAAGAACATTTCAGAATTCCCATTGCCAGTGATCAGATAATATCAGCCAACGAGGTCCCACAAACAAAGGAAATCCATTGGTCATTGTGCTGTTCGTAGGAGAGCCAGCTTCATGGAGCTCAAAGTTCATATTTATCTGCACAAAAAATAAACTACTCCTCCAAGTACGTCCAAAACAACACTAAATGTTATGCGGTTTTAGTTGTGAAAATATGCAGGAGTGGCAAACCTCCTCTAACAGCTTAAAAACAAACTGAAGTTTGCAGCCAGAATCAGTGCTTTGCTCTGTATTGACCACCAGGTGGAGGCCACATTCTGCGAAATCACAAATGCTCAGTCATGAGTGGAAAAACTCTTACAATACTGACAGCAGGTGTTTTCTGCTCTTATCTCTTACTTGAGAGATACCTGGAGAAAAAGAACAAGGGTGGAGCTCTTCCCTGAGATCCTAAAAAAGCTACGCCTATACACACTAGCCCAGCATATTCTGCCATTTCTAAGTGGAATACATCTAAGAGCCTGAGGTGGATAAACATGAATAGACAACTACAGTAACTATACTTAGCACTAAGGCACTACCATTCTTAAAATGTCTGTTTAGAACAACCAACACACATAAAAGTATAAATAACTTCAGATTTACAGGTTTAAAGCCACACACTGCCTTTTAAAGTCCATTACCTGTGGCATGTTACAAACTACACATATTCCCGTCAAAATGAAGCCTACACTGCTGCCCGTGTTACAACACAGGCTTGGCCACAGTGGTGATAGCTCTGGCACAATTGTCCTCCAAAGGAAGTGAGCACCCACGTCATGGTTTCAGAAGGGTGGTACTGCAAGCCAACATGCCTCGTGCCAATAGGGAGTTCCCGATTCTTCAAGAGTCCTCCTCTCTTAGCACTGAAATTACCCAATTCCTCCCAGCGTACTTCTGCATACTGCACCCAGTCCTTCATCATACACAGAACCTAGAGCACAGACAACGCAAGCAACAACAAGAGCAGTTGGACTCCCACTGTCAGGAGTTAGCTTCACTAAACCAGCTGTCGGGCGCTTACTGTACTTCGATCATTGGCAATGCACCAGGTGTCACTGGGCTGTTTATAGGAAGGCCAGCTTCACAGAGCTCAGAGTACACAGTGATCTGCACAAAAAATAAACTGTATAATAAGAAGGGACTTTGGGGGAGGAGAGGAGAGGAGAGGAGAGTGGGGAGCTCTATAGCTCCTTACCGAAAAAGCTTACTTTCCCAGAACTTACTTCATAAAGAGGCTCTAGAAATCAATGGCTAACTCTTTTAACAAGTCAGAGTTGCACCTGGCCTTCCAGGAATTCAAGACAGCTGCACTGGGAGTGGGTTTCATGTTGAAAGCATTTTTTTTTTTGCAGATGCATTTCGAAGGGTTCTTGTACGTGCTGCAGCCCTGCATGTAACGTTAAACTACTTCTTTTTTAATTAGACAAGCAGTAAGGAGTACTTTCCATGCTTTCATTTCTGCATGATCCGCTGATCTTGCGTCTCCGCTGGGTCCTCCTTCAGTCTACTGCTCTGCCGCTAACCGGAGGAGGTGAACAGTAACTCACGAAGCTCTGTCCTATGTGAGCCGTAGTTTTTAAGCAAATTACCGCAACCCGGCCCCACTGTTCCTGGAATGAGTGTAAGCCTTACTGTGCATGCTATCTACACCAGTCACCAAGACAGATACAGTGTACAGACCACACTGGAACACGTAGGTAGGCTGTCTAGAGGCTTCTTGTAAAAAGAGGTGAGCATCTGTGGCTTATAATCCTTGGAGGTGTGAACAAGCCTTGAGGCAATATCTATCCACAGCTGAGCAACAGTGGACAGTTTCTTGTAAGTAGAAACGCGATCAGTTTGCATGCTTTTCACTAAAAAGCAAACAAATTCATGTGCTTTGACTGGAAAAGCACTTCAGAGTTCAGAGGTAGGAAACAGCCATCCCAAGAAACTGGGAGCCTTACACAGAAATGACAAGCATAATCAAATGTCCCCTGTCTCACAAGATCCTGCAGATGAAGAGCTGCCCATCAATGAACAGGCTGTGACAGAAGGCATGACCTGTTCTTTTTTTCCTCTGAGGTCTCTCACTCACTCTCCATGTGGTCATCTCGACATGATCAGTAATACTAACTGCTTCGGAAGACTCGCTCCCTGAGCGCAAGTTTAGAGTGAGGAATCGCTGAGATTGTCAGGTGGAGTCATTCCCCCGGAACACTCGATGAGCTTGAGGTTTAATTAGCGGTCTCCTTCATGAGTCATGGCCATTGTCAGCTTAGGCCACTCATCGTCTGAGGGCTAAAGGTAGCAGGAGTGGGAGGTATATGCCACTTCCCCAGCAACAGTAAAAAAGTAAGTAAAATACTCAAACGCCAAAAACATTAATAACGAGAGCTGTAACAAGAATCTTCTACGAGGTTACACTAGGTTAATGACCACACTAGGTGACACTAGGTTAATGACCGTACTCCTCTGAGTTCTCCTCTGAGTTCTACTGATCCAGTTGAAAAAGAACAATTAGCCCTGGTTAAATTAACGCCATGAGTTTGGATCTCTCCATGGTCCACATGACTGGCTGCTCTTGTCTCCTCATGTTGCCGCCCTGGTACTGCCCTTGCATGGCTCGGCGTGCTCACATCGCCTTCCCGACTTCCTGCACAGCTGGGCGGGCGTCCTTGTTGTCCTTGTCCTGGCACTGGGAGATGGACGTCTCCTCCTGGGAGAGGGGGAAATTCGGACTGAACATATAGGGCTCCGGGGAGTAGCCCACCCCCTCAGCCCGTGGGGGAGAGCAGCAGTGTGTGTTGGTCGGGAGGTGGCAGCTGATGGTGGCCTGGAAGTTCACTTTCAGCTGAGGACTGGTGGCCTGTGGACTATCTGTACACAGAGGGAGAGAGAAGCAAGCAGGGTAAGAAGACGGTCATTAACCATGACCTCCAGGAAACAGCAAGCACTGGGCCGCAGCCAGCAGGAAGTCGGTTTGGTTGAAAGTGGTTGCTGGAGAGCTGAGGTGGAGTTACGGTTCATTGCTGACAAGCCTCAGTATTACCTCAAGACCTGCTTACACTGTCTCTTTCTTACATCTGAGCAGAGACTTAGCGCCTTCAACAACAACGCATTTTACAGGTTGATATAAAAAAAGGGAGGACAAGAGATACAAATGAAGGGAATTTACAGTGGAGCTTCATGGGACGGTTAATCATTTACATGAAACATCTTTACCCTTGTCAGCACTAGCCCAGTATTTGTGGAGTATCTGGGTTGAAGAGACAGGAGACGAGAGGCAAAGAAAGAAGGAGCCGATATCCAGTTTCTCATACTAGAAAAATGAGTCTTTCCATCTGTCCTCTGTCCTTTTACACTTCACTGCTCTCTCCTCATCCACTCTCCAGGCTATGTACTGTAGTCAGCCATATGCTTCCCCCCCACCCTATGGGAATGCTGCAGAAAAGCAGAGGAGTGATCCCAACACATCGGGCAGAGTGCACGGCCATAACCCGACTGCATCGACAAAAGTCCCTTCTTCTCACCTTGACAGCAGCTGGGGCTCCCTCTCTGGCTGCTCGATGTGGTCGTCTCCGCGCCCGACTGGCTGCCCAAGGCTGACGAGAGTTCGGATTGGCTGGATTCCGTCTCTCCCAGCAGGCACAGCCGTTCCTGCGAAGGGGGGTGGAGGTTGCCGGAGGAGTTCCGCTGTAGGGCCCCAGGGGTACAGTTCAGGACCTGGAGACGGAAGACCGCGAGAGAGAGGATGAGAGGGGAAGACGTGGCGGGGGGCCGGCGCGTCAGGAGCAAGTCTGATTTTCTTGAGCCACGGATTCTCGTCGAGCTTTGTCTGGGATTCGGCCGGCTGTCCGTGTGTGGCCTCTCCGTCTGCGCGGCTCAGTCCGCGGTCTGCAAACGCGTGTCCCCTCGTGGTCCGAAAAACCTACCTTCTTGGCCTCTGCATCGGCATTCTCTTGAAGGGCTGCTGCAAAACAAAAGGTCATCAAGGACGATGAAATAGCGAAAGCTGAATTAGCAGCAGGCACGTAGACACATAAAAGAAGCATGGCTGTGGCAAAATAAAAGTTATGGGGGGTTAGTCTAGGTCACCTAATTCGTGCTGTTATTTGATTTCTGGTTTCACTTCCTTCAGGAACACCTTGTTGTGGTTTAATGCTTAACTTCACAGGTAGTCAAGTGTACAGAGCGTTTCGTATTGTTATGCTTTCATTATCGACAGAACAAGGGGCTCCCAATCTCCATAGATGCAGGTGTGTACTAGCTGTGCTCCAAGTTGCTTGATTAACCCCTTAACCGATTTTATAATGGGTCAACTGCAACAAACTATGGCAGCAAACTAACTAAGAATGATCCCATGGTGAGTACGCAGCGCTGAATTAAACTAGGACTCTAGATATGTGGTGGGTGCAAACATCCCGAAGTAACAGCTGCTACACAAGTATGGTCAGTAGGGTACAAAACTGCTTAGTCTATAGCAAGGGTTGTACTAAGAGAAACACTGGATAACATAGTAAAGTTCCAATTGCTGTAGCAGCTTATTACTGAAATATGGTCACTACATAATGATTTAAGCATCTGTCACTGGACAATTTAATTATAATATTTGATTAAGAATTGAATTCCAACCACAATAGAACAGACCTAAATTACTAGTCATCAGCATTTCGCCTATGCCAAACAGCCTGCATTACTCAATAGTGTGTTTTGAGATATATATTGATATGAATATTCTGGGGCAGGAAAGGAAATTAAATTAAGGCGAATTCATACAAGTAAAGAGGATGTGACTCTTAATTGTGTTCAGTCACATCTGGGTGTCACTTGAGTGTGTTAGTTCTGTTATTTAGGGTCTAAGGGTCATAAGAGTCTACTCTGATGGTTCTCGGGGTTGATGGGGACAGGGGTTGTTGAAAATATTTAAATGTCCCAGATTAAATCTTCTCTGTGCCAAAAACAGTAGGACGTGAGAAAAATAAGATAGACTGCAGAAGACAGTGTGAATATGACTGTGTACAAAAAACAGCTAATTAAATATTCCCAATATCCCAATCATTTAAAAGTATATCTTCCTAATCCCATGCATTCAGTACTGAAACTTGTTTCTGGGAAACTACAATTCAGGATCCTAGAAAATAGATTCTCCAGTTTAGCTGGAAAAAATCCAAGCTGCATTCCAAATGAACATTCCTATTTAGCAAATGAAGTTTCAGAATATTGTTTAATCTCATATTAGTTTGAGACACAGTAAATCGCTCCAGTTCAGTGGAGAATTGTCCAGTGATGGAGTGGAGAGGTCAGACGTGGGTTACACAGAAGGATCAGAGAAGATGTTGCAATTGAGGGACAGTTCAATTATAATTACACACAATACTGATGGGGTACGGTGTACCTGTTGATTTCTTATGCCTAAAGCTGAAAGATATGGTCGAAAAAATGCTGTGATGTGTAACAGGGCTGACACCCACCAGTGCTTAAGCCTATTTTTGGTTACAGCTTTGTGTGAAACTAGAAATAATGAAGCCATCAGCACCTTTTAGCTACCACCTTCACTGGTGCCAAGGCAGACGAGATACAATCACAGGCCTTGGAACGGATGAGAAAAATTAAACCACGTTTTTTTTATCGTGACACCTCTATAGCTGTTCCAGTAAGCCTGAAACTGATCAGAGTGAAAACTGCAGATCAAGTAAAAAAAAAAAACAGCTCTATTCATGTGTAATAGTTCTGTTCAAAGAGTGACAGAAAGAACATCCAGTATCAAAAGTCATTACCAGTTCTGTTGTAGATGCAGCGTCCAATGATAAACATCACTATGATGATAGTGACCAGCACTGCACCGCCAGCTACTGCCCCAGCTGCATGACAAAGAAAGAAAAGTAAAAAAAAAACTGAGGGTGGGAAAGTAGTGCCTTTTAAATCTGGCAGAGCTTGTCCGCAATTTGAAATGACTTGGAACACAAGTGGGTTTTATCAATGTACGAAAACACTTGTTTCAGTGATGTCAGGAAAGGACAATTTTGAACCTCGAGAGATATAGGGTGTTTTATTTTCAAAACGTGTTGTGCGAACCACCTGGTAACGAGACTCATAGGGCTTGTTTGCAATGTATATACCTTCAGGTCTCCAGCACACCTATCATTTTGACATCTTGTGAAATACACATCCCACATGGATCAGTTCTCAATTCCTTACTTAATTTGACCAATTGATTTACCAAAACTGATCAAAACTCACTTGTGTCCCATTTCTTTACAAATTGATGATTTAACGATCGTTTATAAGACCCCCTAGACTAATGCTGTCAGGAACAGGGTGGATAGGCTCTCTCGCTGCTCCAGCTACGTCCCTTCGGACTCTCAAGTCCAAACCAGGCGACCGTGTACAATGATGTTGCGTTGCACGTTACACACAAGACAGGCCTGTTGAGGCCAGCCCTTTGCACTCACCGATGATGTTGGTCTTGTCGATGACAGCTACGGTCTTGTCGGCCTGCACTGTGGTGGGAACAGAGTGAGGCAGAGAAGGTGGCCGTGCAGAGAAAGGGGCGTCCATCCTGTGCAGGACAGAGTTGCCGAGAGTCTCAGCAGCGACAGCCCTGGGAGGTGTGGTTGCCATTTTGGGGTGACAGACGGCGTCTGCACTGTTTGTCCCGGCGCGCAGCTCACTGGTCCCGTGTGAGGCACAGCTGGAGAACAGAGAAGCACAGAGCCGCCGGTGAGACACGGGCCTTCAGAAAACACCCGGAACTCAAGAACGTTTCACAAAACCGTACGTCTGTCAACGTTTAACCACTCTGGACCTGGTTTGTTTTGCGAATGCTTCACTCCCTTGTTGGGAGACTGCCTGCCTTTGCTTTCTGTCCTTTCAACCATTTCATGCACTGATTAATCCGGAAGTTATGACCCATTGACCATAAAAATTGTCACAAAGGCCATAAAAAGACCAAAAAAAAGGCTGCCAAAATGCCTTTAAGGAGATTTAATGAAGAGAGTGTAGGGTTTTTGAAGAGAGTTTGGGGTTTTTAATGAAGAGAATGTAGGGTTTTGAATACATGGACAGCAAGTATTTTAAGCATCAGACCTTCTATGGTCTGATTCTTAAAATACTTGCTGTCCACTGTTTACAAAACCCAAAGGCTGTCAGGGGAATTTTGAATCGCTGTATGCCTTCTTCACATGCACATGTAGTGAATCTGCTTGTTACTGTCAGACTTCAGATTTATAGGAAAGGAAATTAACTGCTGGTTCTAAAGACATCAGCAGGGTGGCTCCATAATGCAGCTTGTGAAGCTGTAAGATGGGGCAAGGGGATACATACTCAGTGTGGGGCTGACAGATCTCTGTGCTGGAGTCCGTGGCAGAGAAGGTACCAGGAGGGCAGGGAGAGCACACTACATCAGAGTTTGCGGTCCCTGAATAGCAGAAAAACACCACAAGGTCACTTCAAATGAATGAAAACCCGCAAACCTTCCAGACACCAGTTCAAAGAATGGTGCAGTGAGTGAGATTCCCTTTCCCAGAGCTAACAGCAGAGTGCATTTCTTTGAAGGTCTGTGCCCATGAGTATGCGTTTGCTCGGGTACCTTTCTCTGAGACTCCCTGGCCAGGCGGGCAGCTGGAGTACATGCTGCAGGTGTCACAGGAGTAGCTGCTTGAGGTAAAAGAGCAGTAGCCTCCCTTGCAGACACACTTTCTCGGGGAGGTGACTGTGCAGGGTTGGACCTCCTCCAGGCCTATATATGCCAAGACAAGATCATACAAATTAATCCAGACCCACCAGCTCAGCGTTACACAACACAGGCACAAACCCCTATGCAAAGTGGCGCCTTGTAGACAAAACCCACTTTTTTATGTTTGGAGATAATATCTACAGACCTGGCAGGCACTTCACAAACAGCAGAAGTTTTTAAGAACAATGTCCATTGTAAAACCTCTCAGTGAGGCTGCAGCAGATGTTTCTATGATGACTGCTCTCGAGACAGGACTCTTTGATGTGAAACCGTAGGAAAGCCTTGCTTTCCTTTAAAGTTGACATTGGTACATTAAAGGAGTTTCCAGAAGATCTACCACTAGTTAGGGAAAGTTATTTTCTTTCAAGGTCTACCTGGATATACAAGATGAAGACGGACAAGGAAATCTTCACTCTCACCCAGGGCGACTGAGAAAACATCCAGGACTGGTATATAATGTATGTTGCTGCCTGAGCTCTTGTCAAGCCTGTTAAAACTCAGAAGCAGATTTTGATTGAACCTCTGTAAGAAAGAGTAGCTCAACCTTGTACAGCACCTCGTTTTGTTGGGTACAGTTTTGTTGTGAGGTCAGCCCGTGTCCCTTGTCCGACCAACCTGTCCAGACTGACCAGTGCATTCCTGACTGACACAGTGTCAGGCAAGAAACTGGACACCTCTCAGTTGGACCCTCATGCACATATGCGGCCCTGTTATTAGTGGGTAAATTTGAAAAAAAAAACGGTGTACAAGCCTCACCTTGATAACAGGCCTTTGTGCATCTGAAGCAGTTGTTGTGGTAGTGCCAGCGATCTGTGTAGGAGCCGTTCCGACACTTTTGACACACCGTGTCCTTTGTCTCTGTGCAATCCTCAATCAGACGGGTCCCTGGAATGGGAACCATAATACACAAATAAGTAACCATGCATTGGGATTCCCAGACATTGCGCTGACAATCAAATCAAACAATATATTCCACTGAGCACCTATAGTTAGCAGGTACAGTAGAGTTACCTACCTTTTTCCACAACATGACCCGGGCCGTGATAATTTTATTATAGGACAAATGCAAAACAAGAGCACAAGCAGAAACAGATTAAGGTGGGCATACTAATGATACTGTATGTTTCGTCATTCAGGAAAGTGTGACTCCAGTCTTAACAACTGCTATAGCTAAACGAGGCCAGTTGCCTGCCTCCTGAGACAAAATGCCTCGTCTTCAAGGTATCGCATGCTTCTGCAGACAAAAGCTGCCCCTGGTGTGACTTGGGAGTTGCAATTTTCACAGGCTCTATCAGCAACCCCACAACGGTCATGGCTGCTGCTCTTTTGTTTTGCCAAATAAAACTCCTAACGCCTACTACTAGTAATAACAAATGGCTTTAGATTAAAAAAAGACTTTTGTTTTCATATTCTGGAAGCCATGTGCAAAATGTGCATCCTGGAGTGCAACTGTAAAAATAATCTATATGTAAATGTGGCAAGTCTCGTGAGCCATACTGGATAGCTGCTTACTGAGGAAGACCCAGGACTAGATACATGCGTGACTGGTCTGCGTATCCCAGTTCAATTGCAGCTGAATTGCTACATACCGTAAGTGCTGCTTCTACCAATGCCGACAACACTGACAGCAGTACTGCCCCCTGCAGGCCGTGTGACCGCACCGCATGCGTTTCCGGGCGCGGGCGCGGTGTGGAATCCCCCGGGCCCCCCGCACCCCGGGAGCCTGAACCCCGGCACAGGAAGCACAGGAAGCTCGGCGGCAGCTCTGTGATGTGGTGCGAAAGCGCCGCTGCTCTGCGGCTCCCCGCGCGTGACGTCAGCGTTGCAGAAAACGCCGCCGGGTTTATCGAAAAGCCGGCGAGGGAAAGAGAGAGAGAGCGCGGCAGAGCAGGGCAGGACTCTCACGGCGCTGAAGCGGAGGAAAAGCAGGCCACAGGAAGTGCTGCCAGCTACACGTGGTCTCCGCGGGACGTGCACACCACTTCCAACACCAAGAACTGCATCTACTGAATGTTGGGGTGTAGCAAGATGATGCAGAATCAGAACTACACTACTGGAGGCAAAGGCAACACTGAATAGAAACTTCTGTCACGCAGACACAATCGACCTCTTCGTTTTTGGACTGGTTGCGTTATTGTTTGAGAAGCCTGACGAAGGCTGACGAAGTGCTCGGATAGAAATATCTTGGCGGGTTTGTCCGGCACCATGCAGAAGGCAGCGACACATCTGCCCGTGCCGTCTCTCTTTCTCTGATCACAGCACCGCAGCCCAGTTTCTGACGTGGAGCGCCATTCCGTTTCCCGAGGAAGGGTTGAGGGAGGAGCGCGGGTTTCTGGGATTGTGCCGAGTGATGGCTACCGCACACGACCAAAATCCTCACCCATCTCATACCTGGTGGACACTGTGAGCAGCAGCGGTGCACCATAGAACGATAGTATTCCCTCTCTGGGTTCCGGCAGACATGTCCTCTGTTGTCCGGGGGGTAGGGCAGGATGTACATCTGTGGGAGAAACACATATGAAGCGAGGCGGAGAGGACAGGCAGTTCTTGAGCCCAGAACAAGCTGCTCTGGACTGCACAGAGATGGGCTCCGAGCCCAACCAATCCGGAAAGACGGGAGTCTTAGCAATTGTTTCCGCACGGAACTAGAAGTCTTTTCCCCCCATCACTTTTCAGGATCGATTTCCCTTCTGGTTTTCTTTAAAAGGTGTTTTTTTACTCAGTACCATGGGGACCTTCATCAGCAGTCTTCATGAAACTCGTGAAATTAGTGGTTCTGTCTTTTCTGGAGGTCTAAAACCAACACACCTGCAGGGGTTGACACACTTAATTGTGTATTGACCATCACACTCAATCTTAAGTCTTGCAGTAGGCATTATGCTTTCAGGCTGGATATATTTGCTTTATTCTTAAGGAGGAACTTAAATTGCTGGTATGTGTTCTCCCTGTAACGTATGATCTATTGTATCTAGGATCTCTGCTTTATTGTAACTTGACTGGCTTGGAAATGCTGAAAAACGTGTTAAAAAAAAGTGACTTAATTGATTGGCAGACTGACAGGTCATTTAATTGGCTGGCTCAGCAGAAAGAACTATTTCAGGCTATGTTGCAAATAGCACCCGTCCTCCCTTGTGTGCTTATAGTACTCCTTATAGTACTAGCATGTGCAGGAGCTGTGAATGAATCACTCTCTAGAGTGGCACTGCTTGACTAATGGCAAAAACCATGCTTTCCTCATGCTTTGCATTTTTTTAAAGATCTGTTTCCTGCTTCCTGTCTAAGTCGGCAATAAAATGGAAATATGAACGTGTGACTCATTTCACAACTACTATGTTACAAAACACCATTTTTTCTTCTCATTCACATTAGTCACTAAAAATGGGCAAACCTGCTAGCTTTCCAAAGTTCAGCTTCAGTGCCCTCTGTCCTATAGATAATCTATAACCTGGCCAGATTCTCAATATGTTCCACACCCTCACACTTCTTGAAAACCCAAATACTGCTGCATCAAGTGACTTATCAACATCAAAAAGGCTTTTAACAATAGAGACAATACTACGGGGCAGCTTTTCCTAATGACTAACATCTGCATTTGAGAATGGGCCACAATAAACACAGTAATCTGGAAATTTCCCTATTGGAAAAGCTTCAAGATTCATGTGAAACGAACTTGATACTGAAGCAATGACATTACCAGCGATGATAAAACCAAGATATCAATCTTTTGTTGTTTTTTTTTATGTGAGTAACTGAGGATGAGGTTTTCTTTGAAGATGGTTCATCAGCTCGATTGAGTTGAATTCCTCTTTTAATTGTAATTTTCTAAGCACCATACAGTTCATCGGGCTTTCCTCCCCAAGGACAAAGAAATAATCGGAAAAAAGCAGCGCTCCCTTCCTCCCGCAATTTCAAACAACCAGGCTGTTTATCACACAGAGGTTGTGAAGTGGACAGGCAGCCGATCCAAATTACTTAGCAGATATAATGTAGGAAGGAAGCAAGCCTGCCTCTTCCATTAGGGTCTTCTCAGAGACTGCGTTTAACTGGCCAACTAGCTAATGACCACTTAGAATTAATATTAATATGCTTAACAGATGTCCTTATCCAGCACAATGTATGCCAGCAGAACAAAAACATATGGCACTGCTATGCAAAAGTCAGTCTGCAATTTGCATTGTTCTACCCTTTTCCTTTATGATGTAGAAACACTTCTGTGTTGACCTTTTCTTATTTTAAGCGACCAGCTAATTCTTATAATTAGCTATTTCATAATACAAAAAGTAGCCTTTTACTAGCCTTACTGTAGGATGTGAAGTGGAGGACAAATGATGATAATGACAAGGAGCATCTGACAAAGAGTCAGTTGAATTTGACTCATAAAAGTGAAAGATTAGATACTACAGCACTTCAGATTGGCTGCTTCTACAGTACGTAGTTCGCCTTATTTTGCTGTGATCAGGTTTTTGAACACCGATCAATCTGAAATACTTTGAAATTACAAGACTGGCTTCCAAACTAAGCCGCATTAACAACAGTCAAAGACGTTGTAATAACTAGAAAACGTTAACGGAGGATTTGAGTAAACTGCTGATGCTCGGAACAGAAATATGTTTTGTAACTCCTGATGGTGTCAAAGATATTGGCAAATCAAAGTGGAGTAATAATTTCTATTACAGGAGCCCACTATCCTGTCCAAAAGATTACAACTTGCTTATTGCAGAAGTCTCCATAATTTATAATGTTAAAAGAAATCTGAGAAAGATAATGATTTGATTATTTCCTAAATTAATTTCAACTGTTCCGTTCCTTGTGCTACAAAAAATAATCTAAAGTATGATGTCACTATAAGACCAGATTCTGGGACCCCCTTCCTGAAATATGAAACCCTCAGCAATCAGGCTTACCTGAAGCATTAAAAACTCTCCTGCAACTAAGCTACAGCACTGAAGTGAACATGGACGACTTTAGGAACTGCTCAGTACCCTTGTTTTCTCCTAGTTAGATTTAGCCATAGATGCTTCCTGAGCAGTACAGCGTCATGCTCTTCTACCAGAGGAACCAGTAGTGGATCAATCACTGAAGGCACAAGGCAGAGCACAGGTTGAGCTCCGTGAACACAGGTTCGAGTCTGAGCGCTAAAAGCAGGATTCCCCAAGTGGCAGCCCACAGCTGGCTGAGCACCACTGAAGAGAGGGTGGGATTAGTTGACAGAGCTCTCCCGGGAGCTTACAGGCACGAGATGCTGTCAGTGAGGGATGCATTTCTCCTCCAATCAGCACTGAGCTGCCAGCACTGCGCTGCATTAAAGAGGAACTACAACCCTATATTTATATTTTGGGGTGAGAAAGAATTGGCCTTGAATGAGTGCAAATCAAACCACAATGAAAGTAAAATGTACACAGTAACTTGTAAAATCTCCCATTTATATCACAAGACAGACAATTGCTAAGTGTGTGCAGGGCTATATTGCCGTCATTGTCTGCGACTCAGAACGAGGCAACAAAACTTCTGGCGAGGTGAAGTGGCCCTATTGTAAACAAGCAGGCTTGCGAATACATCTCTTTTAATCCAATAGAAATATTGCTCTCTACTTTGTTCAGGTCACGTTGGAACATTTCTGCACTGAAATGTCTGCTGCACAGCCTGTACTTATTCACTTGTACATCACATTACAGTGACTAGTGAGCAGGAAGGGCCAGTTTAACTCACAATTCTCACAAACTTTCTCTCACCCGTGGCGAGACTAGGGGTTTGTGACAACACGGCGATCATACCAGTCCTTTCACAAACTTCACGATTGTGTGTTGAAATTGTGCGACATCATCAATTCATTTTTGTCAGGGAGATGTAATAACCAGTCTGAGAAACCGGGACTGCAGTTCCCCTTTAAAAAGCCAAGTGGCTTGAAGTTGTTTGGGCAGGTCAGAGGTGTCTGCCTGCACTCTCTTTCCCCTGCGTGAGATCACAGGGTTTGTAGCCGAGAGCCAAGTTGTGAAAAACACAGTACTGGCTATACAGTATCGGGCAGCTTTACAACTAAGAACGTTTTAAACTAAAGCACCAGAGGTTTTCTTGACAGTTTTTGTCTACCTATGTATAAATATCGCACTTCCTGCTGACTCACTTGTGTGTTTCATCTTTGCATCCCTCTCTCCACCATGTTTTTGCCCTTGCAGCAGCACCCAGCTTGCCCTTCAGTAAAGGTGGCGTTCAGACAGCCCTGGGCCCCAGTCAGCAAGGTGAGTTACTCCAATAAAACTCCCTTTCCGAATCACACCATGCGCGGAACTACCATGGCAACGCCTGAAGTCAAGACCACAAATGGCAGGAGTAATAAAGGAACTGTCTGGGACACTGAAAAGAAATAAAGATCAAATAACAAAGAAGAAAAGCAGGTGGTAGACACCTTACATTTTCAGTAGGTACACCTGCCAGCACCTGACTGAGCACACACCCACCTTTGGCACATAAGGTTTGGTAAAAATGTCTGGTGGCATTTTGATATAAAAAACAGGATAATGTGGAAATGAGGAATATTCTTTAAAAAAAACAGTGATACACATCATGTTACTTTAGCTAGATGAGACAGTATGGGCTTCTGCTTTTCTGGTCAAGCGCCAGTTAACATCATTTGGAGTCTTGCGTTACGCATTGTCAACTTATTCGCCTATGAGCTTTTAAATTTAGCTTGTTGTGTTTCAGGTTTTTATTCTTCCCTTCAAAATAATAAAAACTGTCAATCACAAAAGAGGCTACATCGGTAGGATATGGCACAGCAATTCTAATCCAGTGGACACAAACATACATGACCAATGGCAACTATACAGAGGTATGAGTGGGCCGCCACTTGGAAATTTTGCAGTACAGGACATTTGCAACAACCCATCAATAAAAGAGCAAGGGTAGAAATAAAGTGAACTTTTTAAAATGAGTCACAAAAGCAGAAAATGCAGAACGCTTTTTTTTCCACTGCTTATCAACACAATCGCTTAGACAAAACCAGTACACAAAAGCATTATTCTTTACAATGTATAGAGTGCCTTGTAAAGAAACAGAACAGCGTTTGTTTTTCCAGTAAGTCAACAAGATTACTTTGTACAGACAAAATACAAACTTGGCACTGAGCAGCATTGACGTTCTCTGCAGTCTGTTTATTAGAGAGGAAACAAGACCTTGAAAGTCCTAAGCTATCTCATAGCTACACCTAAACAAGAGCAGAACAAATCAAAGCTACTAGATCCAGAAGGGAGTTATACTTTTGCAATATTTGAGGAGCTAATCATTAACGATGCATTGGTACTTCATGATGAACATACAGTACTAAAAATTTAGGGACAGAAAATGGACAAATGTTTTGCAAGTCCAAACCTTAATTGAAACAAACGCCAATGATTCAATCAAGCAACTTGTTAAATTTAGACTATAATTAAGTAATTATGCTCAGCTGAAACTGAATGAAACTCTACAAGTGTTTCTGTCCTGCAGGTCCTCCAAGACAAG